CAAAGCGGTCTTGGTAAAAAAATACATTATCCATTACTGACGTTCCAAAAACTGAGTATGATTGGTTTAATTCTAGTAACTCATCCTCCCAGTTTATTCCTAAAAACAAGGTAATCTACAGTTACCATCAAGAACTAAAGTTTATATACCGGGTGCGTCTCAAAAGTGGCTCACCCCTATAACTTTTTTATTTTTTTCAGATAAAAAAACGAGATTTGGTATGTTAGTACATGACATAAATTAGGATTGAATGACATATTCAATTGTTTTCGGTCATTTCTGTTTTACCGGAAATGACTACAACTTTTGATTTTTAAGTAGCACCCTCGGTATTTTTTTACTTTATTCGATAGAAAATGACATTCTGAATAGAATGGCATATCATATGTCAACTTTTGACATCGTCGCTTAATAAAAAATTGTATTTTAAAAACAATCTAGAGTGTCATGACCACGTTAAGAACACTAATTCTTAATTAAGAAGCCTTGAAAAAATAGATTTGATCGTCTAATGTTTTTAGTGTCTTGTCCTGGCCAGTTAGAAAATGCCCAAATCGTATTTTTAATCATATCTCAATTTTTTCAAATGGAACGAGGGTGGCACATTAGCATATTTGAAAAAAAACATTTTTTACGAATAATTTTATACCACACACTTGGTATTTCGAATCAAATTTTCGTTACGAACCTAAAGTTATAATTTCAAATAAACCATATGCAAAAATGTCAAAAGTTGACGTGTGATACGTCATTCTATTCAGAATGTCATTTTCTATCGAATAAAGTAAAAACATACCGAGAGTGTCATTTAAAAATCAAAAGTTGTAGTCATTTCCGGTGAAACAGGAAGTGACCAAAAACAATTGAATACGTCAATCAATCCTAATTTATGTCATATAATAACATACCAAATCTCGTTTTTTTATCTGAAAAAATAAAAAAGTTGTGGGGGTGAGCCACTTTTGAGATGCACCCATAGGTAGGCTTTTTATATTATATTTTTTAAATTTATATTATTTATTATTATACTACTATTTTTTTCCTTTTTTATAAGCTTAAAGCTACCTAGAATTCAAAATTTGAAGTTTTTAACTCTTCTAGAAGTATTTACAAGCTTCTAGAAGTATTGAAATTTGAAAAGCGATAATAATTCATGAACTATAATTACTACATATTTTGATAATCTCGCCAGCATGTCTGGTGAAAATTAATATTCTTGCTTTATCTACAACGAAGTTACAGGGTGGTCAAAAGTGCCGCTAATACCTTCGAGAAAGGGATCGTACGATCTCGACTTGGCGGGGGCACTGCTGTGCCACCAGATAGCGTGCCTACGGTTTGCCTAATATGTAGTATGACATACCAAAGTACTTAAAGTTTAAATGGATTTGTTCACCCATGAAAAAACAAGAGAAAGAGCAATTTGGAGCCATAAGATCTCCGAATTGTAAGATGGTTAAAGCAAAACAGGAACAAGATGACAGGATCTTTCCGTAAGGAGGCATTTCCTTCTTGATTGATATAAACGGACCTTAACTCCTCTTTATATGATCCCATTCCTGTGGACTGATAAATTTGTGTTATTCTGGATTGCTGGTGGTTAGGAAGAAGAATGCTACGCAGTAAACCATGACCAGGATAGTGTTTACGTAGAATGAAGCCTGCCAGCCCAGCTTCGGTATGGTGTAATTTATGTACACCCAAATGAACGCTGTTCCTATCGTGTGACCTAGCAAGGCACTGGCGAATTTCCCTTTTTCGTTGGGCGGTGCCCATCTTGCCATAAGCAGAATTAAGGAAGGATATATTAGTCGTGATGCAATTCCAGAGGCGAACCTGCAACAGAAAGTTACAGCCCAGTGCCATTTGGCTCATTGTACGATAAGAATATATAATAGTCCTATAGAGAATACTAAGCATACCACGATGTGTTTGGGACCAACTGCTTCAATGAGAATTCCTCTGATACTGGACTGATGTCTAGAATTCCGTAGTAGTAGGTAAATATTATTTGTTTCTTGTTGGAATCGGACCATTTATATTTAGATCCAAAATTGGGTATGCATTTCATGGTTGTTGGCCCCGTCAGTTACTCTTGAGCAGTATGTTCTTATAACATATTCGAATTCCTCTGGACTGATAAATCTGTGTACTTCTGGACTGCTGGCGGTTGTGAAGAAGTATGTCATGCATTCATATGTCATGCTGATTGTCGACTACTACTTACAATATGGTTTATTTATTAAAACCTAGAGGGATGATGGTGTAATTTCAGCCAGTTGTATACTAACGTATTCCCTGATTTATCGGAACGTGTTCCTCTTGAAATTACAAGTTTAGTTTTTTTTAGAGTTATGAGTAATAAATTTCTCCAATAAGAAAAAATAATTTTCCTAAAGCAACTAAATCAAAAAGATACATTAGCAGTTAAATAAAACTAAAATTTTATCATATATTTGTATATATTTGTAATAAGCGATTATAAAAACTCGAATACTACTTAATAGAACTAGAAATTAAATAAAAAAAAATTATGTTTCTTCGTCATTTCTCCTTAAACGCAAAGGCCTACCACGTTTTACATTCCAGTATTGGATTTCGGAAGAACCGAAAAATATGTATACAATTCCAGTACTAATTAATACCAAGCCTCCAACTGAAAACAGTATAGCCCAGTGTATAACATCGTCAGAATTGATCACTTCGATAAACTAGGCATGATTAACTAGATGTACAGAAAGAACCGACGCAAACTGAATATCGTAGCAGAGAAATGGTTCATATCAACTGGAATCCCTGTTGGTAACTACAACGGCTCCCCCAAAAAGTTTATTCTCAACACCAACAATATCGCCGATGCCCCCATTACGCACTGTGTCAATCCGGTACATATCATACCGGGTACCGCGTGACACCACATGAACATTTTTTGTCAACGCGGTTACGCTGATTGTGTTTTTTCAAGGTTAATATCTGTAACATTAGCAAAAATAACAGCACCCAGGTATTCACACAGTAGAGGTAGTAGAGTTAGCAGAGCGGATGCGTCAGTATCCACACCGACAAAGTCATTCATATAAGTCGGCACGACAAAAATATTCATTTGATCCAGCCAACGATCTCCGAATTGTAAGATGGCTAAAGCAAAACAGGAACAAGATGACAGGATCTCTCCGTAAGGAGGCATTTCCTTTTTGATTGATATAAATGGACCTTGACTCTTCTTGATATGTTCCAATTCCTCTGGACTGATAAATTTGTGTTGTTCTGGACTGCTGGCGGTTAGGAAGAAGAATGCTACGCAGTAAACCATGACCAGGATAGTGTTTACGTAGAACGAAGCCTGCCAGCCCAGCTTCGGTATGGTGTAATTTGTGTACACCCAAATGAACGCTGTTCCTATCGTGTGACCTAGCAAGACACTGGCGAATTTCCCTTTTCGTTGGGCGGTGCCCATCTTGCCATAAGCAGAATTCTTCTTCTTCTTTACGTGCCGTCTCTTTCGTGGAGGTTGGCGATCACATTGGCAAAATCTTCACGATTCTCGGCTTTCCTTATAAGTTTTTCAAAAGTTAGGTGAGTCCAGTTTCTGATGTTTCTCAACCAAGATAGTTTCTTCCTGCTGAGACCTCTCTTTCCTTCAATCTTACCCTTAACTATCAATTGTAAGACGTGGTATTTTTCATTTCTCAATATATGTCCTAAGTATGATGTTTTTCTTATTTTTATTATATTGAGCAATTCTCTCTCTCTGCCTATTCTGTTGTAGACTTCGGTATTTGTGATATGAGCTGTCCATGGAATTTTAAGCATTCTTCGATATATCCATGTTTCGAACGATTCTAGGCGATTCATCTCTTGAACTTTCAGTGTCCATGTTTCTGCTCCGTATAATAGGATTGACCAAACATAGCACTTAACGAGCCTAGTTCTCAACTCTAGGTCCAATCTGGGGTTCTGGAAGACGTTCTTTATTTTTAAAAATGGATTTCTCGCTTGTTCTATTCTGGTTTTTATTTCCACGTAAGCAGAATTAGGGAAGGATATATTAGTCGTGATGCAATTCCAGAGGCGAACCTGCAACAGAAAGTTACAGCCCAGTGCCATTTGGCTCCTTGTACGATAAGAATATATAATAGTCCTATAGAGAATACTAAGCATACCACGATGTGTTTGACACCAACTACTTCAATGAGAATTCCTCTGACTGGACTCATGTCTAGAATTCCGTAGTAGTAGGCAAATATTATTTGTTTCTTGTTGGAATCGGACCATTTATATTTAGATCCAAAATTGGGTATGCATTTCATGGTTGTTGGCCCCGTCAGTTACTCTTGAGCAGTATGTTCTTATAACATATTCGAATTCCTCTGGACTGATAAATCTGTGTACTTCTGGACTGCTGGCGGTTGGGAAGAAGTATGTCATTCAATAGAACTAGACCAGGATACCAGGACCAGAATTCCTCTGACTGGACTCATGTCTAGAATTCCGTAGTAGTAGGCAAATATTATTTGTTTCTTGTTGGAATCGGACCATTTATATTTAGATCCAAAATTGGGTATGCATTTCATGGTTGTTGGCCCCGTCAGTTACTCTTGAGCAGTATGTTCTTATAACATATTCGAATTCCTCTGGACTGATAAATCTGTGTACTTCTGGACTGCTGGCGGTTGGGAAGAAGTATGTCATTCAATAGAACTAGACCAGGATAGTTTCTACGCTGATTGTCGACTACTACTTACAATATGGTTTATTTATTAAAACCTATAGGGATGATGGTGTAATTTGAGCCAGTTGTATACTAACGTATTCCCTGATTTATCGGAACGTGTTCCTCTTGAAATTATAAGTTTAGTTTTTTTTGAGAGTTATGAGTAATAAATTTCTCCAATAAGAAAAAATAATTTTCCTAAAGCAACTAAATCAAAAAGATACATTAGCAGTTAAATAAAACTAAAATTTTATCATATATTTGTATATATTTGTAATAAGCGATTATAAAAACTCGAATACTACTTAATAGAACTAGAAATTAAATAAAAAAAAATTATGTTTCTTCGTCATTTCTCCTTAAACGCAAAGGCCTACCACGTTTTACATTCCAGTATTGGATTTCGGAAGAACCGAAAAATATGTATATAATTCCAGTACTAATTAATACCAAGCCTCCAACTGCAAACAGTATAGCCCAGTGTATAACATCGTTTGCATCACCGATCACCACTTCGGATAAACTAGGTACGATCAATCCAGATGTACTAGAAAGAACCGAATGCAAACTGAATATCGTAGCAGAGAAATTTGGAGCCATATCAACTGGAATCCTCAAGTTGGTAACTACAACGGCTCCCCCAAAAAAGTTACTCAACACCAACAATATCGCCGATGCCCCCATTACGCACTGTGTCAATCCGGTACATAATATTATCATACCGGGTACCAAGTGTGACACTACTACGAACATTTTTGTCAACGCGGTTACGCTGATTGTGTTTTTCGCTGCTATAATATCTGTAAGATTAGCAAAAATAACAGCACCCAGATATTCAAACAGTAGAGGTAGTACAGTTAGCAGAGCGGATGCGTCAGTATCCACACCGACAAAGTCATTCATATAAGTCGGCACGACGAAAATATTCATTTGATCCAGCCAACGATCTCCGAATTGTAAGATAGCTAAAGCAAAACAGGAACAAGATGACAGGATCTCTCCGTAAGGAGGCATTTCCTTCTTGATTGATATAAATGGACCTTGACTCTTCTTTATATGTTCCAATTCCTCTGGACTGATAAATTTGTGTTGTTCTGGACTGCTGGAGGTTAGGAAGAAGAATGCTATGCAGTATACCATGACCAGTATAGTGTTTACGTAGAATGAAGCCTGCCAGCCCAGTTTCGGTATGGTGTAATTTATGTACACCCAAATGAACGCTGTTCCTATCGTGTGACCTAGCAAGGCACTGGCGAATTTCCCTCTTTCGTTGGGCGGTGCCCATCTTGCCATAAGCAGAATTAAGGAAGGATATATTAGTCCCGATGCAATTCCGGTGGCAAACCTGCAACAGAAAGTTACAGTCCAGTGCCATTTGGCTCCTTGTACGATAAGAATATTTAATAATCCTGTAAAGAATACTGAGCATACCACGATGTATTTGGGACCAACTGCCTCAATGAGAATTCCTGATACTGGACTGATGTTTAGAATCCCGTAGTAGTAGGCAAATATTATTTGTTTCTTGTTGAAATCGGACCATTTGTATCTAGGTCCGAAATTGGGTACGTCCACTTTCATAGTAGTTGGTCCGTCATCGTCAGTTTCTCTTAAGCAGTATGGAATTGGTTTCGTTTTTGACATCTCAGTCATGTTGTCGAGCTGGAAAGTGATATTTGAAGCAAATATCCCACAAATAAATGAGGTAAAGAAAATCATCGTTATAATCCAGAATCTGACAGGAATGTTATTAAATCTTCTTTTGATATATGAACACATTATGACAGTGATATTTGACTTTGACGTTATCCATAGATTATGGAACATTTAGGTTGACTTTATACAGGGTATTCCTTAATAACATGCTAACATTTAAGGGGGTGTTTCTTGGACATAATCTTAGAAAAAACTTAATATATAGGAATGTATGTCCTAAACATCTTAACTTTTCAGGTACAGGGTGGTAAAATTTTTTATGTTTTTTTTCAAAATATCTCTAATGTTATATTTGATACACGACGTCTTCATGCATCAAAACGCATATTTTTATATGTCAAAAAATATTTTATTTCTTAATTTTCTTCCAGACGATGCTGAAACGAGTTCCACACAACAGATTTTCAGCGATTTGACACTGACGCAAACTGTCTTTCATTTTTTTCAAAAAGAAACAAGAGATAAAAACTGTTTAGAAACGAATGAAGATTTTAAAAATAAATTTTAATTTAAAATAAGTCAGTGGTGTAGGTACCAATTTTTTCTTCAAAAATATTCAATACAAAACCCGTATGGACGTCACTGGTTGAAATAAATAAAATTGTTTGTACATCAAAAAAAGTATTTTAATGGATAGAAGATGTGTATCAAGATTCATAAAGATATCTATTATAATAAAATCAGAGTTATTGTAAAAAAAGTTTTTTTTAATTTTACCTCCCTGTTTCTCGATCAGATATTAAGATGTTTAGGACATACATTCATATGAAGTTTTTCTCTTAGAATAGGTCCAAGAATCGTCATCTTAAATATTACCATGTTATTAAAGAACATCCTGTATAGTACTATTTGTACAATTTGATTTAAATTTGGCGCTTGGGTGTTTCAATATTTCGTGGCGCTATACAGGGTGTTCCAATATTTCGTAGACATATAGAACTACTACGCTTTTTTAGAATCCTCGCTTTTTTGGAGTGAAAATAAGTGCATTGGACATAATTGTCCATTAAAGGGCATTCAACTTTAAAAAACAAACACATTTTTTACGGTATTTTAAGAATTAACCGATATTCCGATTATTTATTTGTTCCTTATGTTGAATCTATGACTATCTTATACATATATTTTATAAATATTACAAATATTATTTAATACATAGTATCTACTCAAATTGATGTCATAATTTTAATTTTAATTAAAATTTCTGAGTTCTGAAAATTTTAGTTCTAAAAATAATATAGTATATTTCTTAAGCATGAAATAACTATACTTGCAGTTTTTTCCGGTGTCTTCTCTTACATACATATGTGTAGCATTTTAAATTTCTTCATACGTATAAATAAAACATTAGAAAACTTACCAGATTCCTCTAACATTCGCCTGGCATTTTTAAAACATTGGTCGTGAGCAAAACATCGACATCTTGCTACCGCTAAAACTTTAGAGGTAAATGATTTTACAAAACCCATTAATAAGGCATTGGAATACTGTACTTAAATTTAGTGACACACAAAAATTTTGAAATATTTTATAATTTTTTACAGAGATGATTTTAAATAACTGTCATATTAACTGAAACATTTGAATCAATCAAAAATAAAAATAAATATATGTTTTCAATCTTAGGCAACTTTAAATACGCATACTTTCTTTTACTGGTCACCTAACCATAAAAAATGTCGAAACAATATTATTTAGTTAGGCAACTTAAAGTACCGGCCATTTTTACTGATGTCACCCGACTTCATGCACCCAACTAGTAAAATAAAATACTCAGGTACTGAGGTAAAATATAATATATACAAATGTCGGTTATTATTATATTTACAGTTTTTGTATATTAAAATAATACAACTTGCAAAGAGGAATTATATATTTTAAAATGTGTATCACAGATAACACATAATCCAGATGGCTCCTTACGTGTTAAAAATTGTCACCCCAATTTCACTCCAATTTGGAAAAATATTGGAGTGACGTTTGAATAATCTGAAATTTTTAGATTCCTTTTCTAACTTTTTTGGGAGGTTTTGCTTCTCTTGCACAGATGTCGCTTGCACTTCAGTTCGTTTTTGGCATGTGTTTTTATTTTTGGATTTTTGGAAAATTGGAGCGTACAAGCTAGGTAGAGAAAAGTTTTATATTTAAACAATTTTCAAGTGCAACTCACCACTTAAAATGTCTCAAGGTAAATTGCATTCTATCCTATGTTTTAATAAATTAAAAAAAGGATTATTCAGGTCCCAACATCGTGAAAATGAGGTTCCACCGGCCGAAAGCTCAAATCGAACAAAATCTTGAACCCTTAAAACAGAACAGAAAAAAAGTCGCTCAAAGATTTTACTATCAAAACCATCCCGTAAATATAAGTCCTTTGGTTAACGAAAATTCAAAAGCACCAGTGCACCAGCGATTGGGTTTAAAGCAAACCAGATTAAAACGCCTACCTTTGGGCACGAATACGGCATCACTCCTACCAAAAAGACGACAAATACACAAAAATCTACAAAATGGTCCTAATACATACTTCAATTTCAGAGGACGAAAACTGCAGCGTACTTATTCCGCTCAAGCACGTCTTGAGAGAATACGAAATACGCAATTTAAGAAACCAAAAATTAAGCTGCGCAGATTGAACACTGTTCCAAAAAATCTCACGATAGAATTACAGAATAATAACTTTAGTCTAAGAAATGTCGAGGATGTTAAAAAGTTTAAAATGATGTTGGATCCTAAAATTCAAGCAGAAATAATTGAGATCCAAAATGAAAGTACAGGTAATGAAATTTTGGTATTACCGACTTTACGCATTCAACCTGTAACAACTGGAGTATCGATGCATGATCGATTTACAAGTTTTTAGAAGATGACTTATAGTTTTACTGTCCAAGAAGGTAAGTTTATATAATACACAATGAATTACAAAATGGGTGCAATATAAATGTTATAAATACTTAAATATATAGTCAGTTTAGCAGAATGTAATTCCTATAAGAATTAGTTATCATAATACCAAGCATGGTTGACAAATTTTCTTGGATTTGTCAATAAGGATTGCTAAAAAACACTTCAGAAAGTCAAGTATATTTTCAATCTTTCTTTTAACAATTATCATATATTAATGAAGCTATAAATATGTAAACATAATTGATAATATTAGAAATGTGTTTACAGCTTTATTTTTTACCTGTAATTTTAACAAAAAATTATATATATTTGGTCGCAATTTAAAGAATGTTATAGTCCAGTTAAAAATACATCTCTTATACTATTTTAAGATATATTAGCAATAAACTTTTACATTTTTTTTTGGTTTTAGAATACCACTTTGGACAAGAAGATCTTGATTGACTTAAGCCTATAATGTAAAATATTTAGTGTATATGACAAATTTTTTGTTCATCAGTAATCGTGTTCGGCATTATGCTCTGAGAAATCTAGATAAATAAAGAACAACACATATAAAGCATCCCAGAGTAAAAGAGAGGAAAAACCTGTACTTTCTCTGATATTTGTCAAAGTTACAGCAAAGTATTGTTGTAAGTGTCATCTTTTTGATCGACCTGAAAACTTCGAGCAAAAAGATGACACTTTCAACAATACCCTGACAGATATCAGAAACGATACAGGATTTTCCTCTCTTTTCCCCTGGAATACTTTTTATTTATTGTTCTTTGTTTATGTCGATTTCTCGCAGAGCACAATGCCGAACACAGCTAGTATGGTATAATTTAATTTTAACAAGTAATTGTTGATATATTAAGATAACTTGGAATATAACTTTTTGTTTTATCTTTTGTGAAATCATGTTTTTTTAATAAATAAATAATAAAAATGTTTAAATGTGTTTTTAAAATTATTTTATAACATATTAATACAACATACAATAGCACAGACAAAACGGGCCTACTGGAAATTCCTCTCTAACTTTGAATTTTGGCGAATGCGAGGAAAAAATGAGACTAATCTCATTTTTTTGAATTTATCTCATATACAGCATGTCCCTGGATTATCTTTACAAGAGGAAAACCATTTTTACTATTGACTTTTTGAGAAAAATGCATTCTTGGAATAACTTTTTGTTTTATCTTTTGTAAAATCATATTTTTTAATAAATAAATAATAAAAATGGGGTTTTAAAATTATTTTATAACATATTAATACTACAGCACAGACAAAACAGGCCAGTGCCTTCTATTAAAAGATCAGCCTCCGGGCGGACTTTTGTTTACTTCATCAGCTGTACATACTTAGATATTGGGTTAGATTCCGTTTCATATTTTGTCGGTTGATTTTTGGTTTTAACTCTTTGATTTTTGGTATTATTTATTATTGTAGTGCAAAAAACTAATTATTTTGGTGTTGAAGTGACATAAACTACTACCAGATATATGGTCACTCTCGGTTTCGCATAAAAAATAGAAATTTTAAAAATTTACGTTATGTGCAAGTGATTTAACCTAAAAGTGCCCATACATTTTTTTACTTATCGTGATTTTTGTGTGTGTTTTTTAAGACTCTAACAATTCATCAATAAAGCTTAAATTGGAGTGTGTTATTGGTGCTATGCCTCATCTTTTGTTGTGTTCCTGGTGGAAAGGATAGTTACTAAGGATAGTTATTATACTAGGCAGCCTAAAGTGTCCGGAAGAGCAAGAAAAGTGGGTACGAGTTATAAATCAAAGAGAATTTTATTGAAAATATCTTTAATAAATTTAAAAATAATATTCTCCCATGATGGTATTAATGAAAACTGGACAATTATGTTTATTTTATTCATATTGTGGAATCTCCACTCCAAGTGTTGCTGGTTCAGCTTCGATAGATTCAAACACGTAAGTAGGTATTATGATCTAGGGAAAAATAAAGAATATGTGTATTAGAGATCATGAAAAAGATTATTATTTTGAGTTCAAATTTTAAAAAAGATTTTTTGTAAAGACAAGACTGATACAGTTTAAAAGAAGAGAATGTGTTTTGTTTGATAATATATAATGTATGTTAAGCATAACATATATTTGTTCAGTAATTTTTAATGAATAGTATTGATTATTTATAATACCAAATTAATATCAAATATTTAAGTGATGGCTGAATACAATATGAATAAAATAACAATAAAATTGGTATATTTGCATAATACAAAATTAAGTTTTAAGAATAAAGGTGTTACTAAAAATACTAAGAAATTCATATTTCTTTGTTTTTAATTGGTCTAATGTTATTTACATTTTACGTAAAATTATACCGTATCATCGAAAAAAAATCGGCGTCTAGTTGGCTTGAAATAAACATTGATGACATTCCCTAAATAACTGTACACATAAAATAATTAACTAGAATTTTACAATCTTGGAAAATTTGATATTCTTGAACCTTGATTCTAAATATTCCAAATTTTTGATTTTCTTCGAATTTAGGTTCGGGAAAAACGCTGATTGATTTTTCATTTGATTTTCATTATTTTTATTTGGTTTAAAAAAAGAAGGTTCGGCTAACATTATAGCCTCCATCAGTGTTGTGTCATATGAAAAAAAATAGTGTCGAATATAATCCAAAAAAATTGCATATAAAATATTCACACCACGCACATAATGTTTACTGCGTACTCCATAGTCAATGTAGATAATTTTAGTGTTAAGAATAATAATTTTAAAAAATATGTGGTCATCTTTTGATAAGTTTATATTAGTTTATTAATTGCAGTAAACATTATGAGGTGTGAATTATATTGTATATGTAATTTTTGGGATTATATTCGACACTATTTTCTCATATGACACAACACTGTGAAGGCTATAGTTAGCCGAAACGTTTTTTTTTAAACAAAATAAAATAATGAAAACCAAATGAAAACTTAATCAGCGTTTTCCCGAACCTAAAAATCCCAAGAAAATCAAAAATTTTAGAATAATTTAACATATAAAATGCCAGCGATCTTCATTTCATAGCCATCGCTGACGCCATTTTAGATAATATTGTATTATTTGTAAATATAATTTTTCGAACATTGATACTTGCAAAATATACATATAAATTTTGTGAATGCAAATAATAATACATCACTATTAGTAGATATTAAATGTTTTTGTTAAATTAGATCGATTTTCAAACCCCAAAATTTAAAATATATTTACATTTTACCCATTATCTTATGTACCTATACATTATTTGTACATTGTAAAACATTTGCTGCATTTGTATGGTTCATAGTTTATTTGCCAAAGTATTTATTACTATAAATAGGTATATATGTTGTAGTTATTAACTGTATATTATGTATATTTCATTTAAACTATATCATTTTTAAAATACAAACCAAAAATCTGAGGAATAATTATGTTTTCCATGTATTCTACAACATATTTATTAATCCGTTATATCTAACTAGCGTGACGTCATAAATCTCGCCCGTAGGCTGATCTTTTAATAGAAGGCACTGAACAGGCCTACTGGAAATTCCTCTCTAACTTTGAATTTTGGCGAATGCGAGGGTTTACTAATCTCATTTTTTAATTTATCTTTTATACAGCATGTCCCTGGGTTATCTTTACAAGAGGAAAACCTTTTTTAATATTCCCAAGTAGCATTTTCACGACTTGCGACCACATGTTTACTAAACACAACGTTGGATTAGTTACAAAAAATAGTTAGCTCCCTACCTTAGGTATTAAAATAAATTTAAACGTTTTTATAACGTTGTGCTGACGTTGGACTTGTACTACAGCAAAGTAGAAGCTTCTGCGACGTCGAATAAACGTTGTCTTCTAACCCTTTTTGCTTAAGTGATCTTTAAGAACGTAGCTACAACGTTGGACAATATAGAGTTTTCCGACGTCAGTTTCAGGACCTATTCCAACGTTATGCAAACGTCGTCTGTTTTACTAATTCCAACGTTGTTTAGATTTCCTTATTCTTACGTTGGTAGGACGTCGGGTCACTACCTTTTTGCAACTGTATTGAACCATAACCTTAAATCTTAAATTTTCACTTCATTGCTGTGTTCAGTCAGACAGTTCAGTGCTGTTTTTGTTTTTATAAAAAAAAATTAATTAAAATGGGACATAAGAAAGGTACATATAAAACTAATTTAAATATACATCGACATATATTACCGATAGTTTATCCACTCCCTCGTTTATTTAGATTATAGAGGGCGGCACAAGCTAGACTCTAGGATGACTAAATTAGGCAATCTTGCGACTAGTATACTACCTGTTAAGGCCGAACTGCGACTTTATTAGACCAGTATGCGACTACTCGAACTACTCCATCTTAATCTCCAAAACAACAAAGTGCAAGCCGCCATGTTGTTAAATAAGAAAATGTTTCGTTTCTAAAATAGCAATTTCTGCTTTTTGAATACATTAACTTGAAATATTTGACCTTAAAAAACACGCGGAAACAATTTTTTCGACTGCGAATGAATTATTCTCATTTTACTAAAAAAAAAAATTCAAGAAAATTTTTAAAACTTCTTTAATTTTAAGGCCCATTAGTATTTTTCAAAGTAGAAACAATACATTTATCAATAAAGTTGTTTGCGTTTAACTTTTTTGCCTTGTGTAACGAGTTACAGAGTCGGTTAAAGTGTTTCAATAATTATGATCTTCAAACATCCTCCACACTTAAATACTTTTGTTTTGTTTTTCCTTCACTGCCATCTGACATATATCTCTAACTAAACCATAAAATAATATTTTTACTATAATTATCCCAATTTAGGATAAAACGCGACTTAGACGCCATATTAGTTTTGTATTTCTGTGAATTAGGATTTTTAAACAACGTTGCAGATTGTACTAAATTAGGCTTCTAGCCAACGTCGGTATCCAACGTCGTTTCGACCCAAAAATTATTCTCCAAACTAGTGCAGACTAGGGTTGGCACGAGGTTGTGCCGACGTTGCGCCCCGACGTTTGGTCGCGTGACACACCGTTGTCCCGACGTCCAAATGCTGCTTGGGTTGACTTTTTGAGAAAAATGCATTCTTGGAATAGCTTTTTGTTTTATCTTTTGTGAAATCATGTTTTATAATAAATATTTTGTGTGTTTAGACTTATTTTATAACATTTTATTAATGCAAAACGGGCCTTTTGGTAATTCCTGTATAGGAAATTCTATTGCAATGACTGGGAGCTACTTTAACTTGATTATTCAGTTAATATTGGCGAATGCCAGGGGTTTACTAATCTCGTGTTTATGATTTATCACTTTCATACATGCAGTATGTCCCTGGATTGCCCTTACAGGAGGAAAATCTTTTTTATTTTTGACATTTTGAGTTGTTTTGACATTTTGAGTTGAGACTTGTTCTAAAATGGTTAACCCC